GCGTCATTCTCCCTCACAAGGGATTCATACTCGGACAGCATGCTAGGGATCCACTTGTCGATCTCCTGACGCACAACTTCGTTGGGGATCGTCTTGGTATGAAGGGGAACTTCACCCTCACCCTCCGCAAGTTCAGCTGCGCAGAGCCGATCTCCTGGATCACAAGTGGCTCGCTGCCACTCCTCCATTTCGCGCTCCAAAGCAGCCCTTCTGATACTGCACCGCCTCTCATGAGCACATCCATCTTCCCCAAAGGCCGGCTCTTCCTTGAGGATCCGCTCGAGATTCTCCTCTTCTGCCAAAAGACAACGCACTTCATCAGCATATGTGCCCAGTAGATCCCACCCAACTTCCAGTGGAACCTCGGACGCGAGAATCTCGTAGGACACCCCGTCTTCAGGTTGAAGGGCCCTCAGTTCGGCCACTGTTGGTGGGCCAAACGCACCCCACGACTCCTTAAGCCACTCATCACAAGGACTCTCAATCTCATCCTCATCGCCAATGTAGAACTGCTTTGGCACCTTCTCGGACTCGGTGTTATCTGCGACGCCATCTGAAAAACCGCAGACACAAAGTGATGGATCCACCTCCCATCCTTTACACACACAAAGACCCCCATGAGCAACGCCGCCACGAGATTCCGACTTCTGGTTCTCCCCCGGTCCCTGACTACCATCACAAAGACCCCCATGAGCAACGCCGCCACGAGATTCCGAGTCCTGGTTCTCCCCCGGTCCCTGACTACCGCTGCTCAGTGCTCGCACCACTCTTCCTTCGCCTCCACCAGGCTCGCCACACTCATCGAAAAAACCCACTGCTCGAGCTTCTCGTACACCGCACTCACCTAATCCACACTCTCCCCCTTCAGGCGTAGACTGAACCTGTTGCGGTGGCAATGGAAAGCCAAGCTCCTGTAGTAGTTCACGATGGGCACGACTGCAATTGCTGGCGCAGCCCACGGTGTAGGCGGTGAGGGTAATGCGCTTCCCTTGCCATGGTAGTGGTTGATGTAGTTGACAGGGGTCAAAGACCACAGCCTTGTGATAGGTTGGATGCCTCCGACCTGGTAGCCATTTTCCATCCACTTTGTGCCAGCTCAC